TATCTATGGGCTGCTCTTTCAGGGTGCCACAAGAACCCCTAGAATGGTATTTCAAGTGTGTGCACTTTATGCTTTGCCCACTTTCTAAAATCCACATAGCTGGTAAGTGTGCACGTTATGCTTTGCCCACTTTTCTAAAATCCTGTATGGTAAGAGCTACGCGCAACGACTTCGTGCTCTTTTTGAGTGGTTTAAAACCCCGGTTCCGCCTTGGGCACCTCTCCTCCTATGTATCCTCTGGATACCTACTTAACAAGGTGTTGCTACTAAGGGTCTGTTGAGACGGTTCCTTCAGCACATACAAAGAGAAACGTGCGGTAGCCCCTGTGTGACAGGCCAAGACTAGTATGATTCTAGGCTCTTGGTCGTATTCCCTTAAAGGAATCTATTCCTGATTCCAAGCCTTGAGCTCTACCCTGGGCCCAGGAGTCTGGCCCTGACAGGTAAGTTATAAGCATAACAACAATAAAACAGTAAGATACAATGACAAACTAGCTTATAAAACGTTTATTAACAAAAACAAATAAGACGAGGCATGGCATACACCACATGCTGTATTATATACCGACTAATAAATTACAGAACTTTTAGCAAATACTGAGGAATCAAATAAATAAAAGAGAGCCTCCAAAGCATAATGTGAGGTAAACAGCAAAGATAACAAGCTTTTCAAAATGAAAACAAAACAAAAGTAAAATTAAACTTGCTGTCGGTGACAGTGCTTGCATGTTTCCCCCCCCACAAGAATACCAACAATTTTACCAACTTTTACTTTACTTTAGCATGAAACCCATCCATCGTTTCCTCAATATTCGCGTAATTTTTGCTGCACGCACCTTCGCGTTCGTGCTGAGGCGGCGAGTATAAACCAGGCTCTACACTCTAAGCGCTGCGCAGTTCAAACAAGTAGCGCGGTTTCGTTATGCTTTCAGTTTCGTTTGCCGTTTGATGTTTCTCACATGCAACAGAAATGCAGCGCTTATGAGTTAAACAATGCGGTGGTCGCGCCAGTGCGACTGCACACAAAATTTAGTCGCACCGGTAGAAAGAAATATCACAAAATGCGCCCATTTGGTCGCACACTGGAGCCCTGTGCAGTACAGTATTTATTTATCCTCAGTTGATCAAATCGCGGTAATCGAATACGGTTATAGTGATAATTAAAATATGAAATGGTAATAATAACAACCGTGGGGTATTTTATCACGATTTATCGTCAAACGAAGTAATCGTTACATCCCTAAATGTGTTTATACAGTTTAAAGGGGTCATATGATGCGATTTAATTTTTTCCTTTCTCTTTGGAGTGTTACAAGCTCTTGGTGCATAAAGAAGATCTGTAAAGTTGCAAAGACTAAAGTCTCAAATCCAAAGAGATATTCTTTATAAAAGTTAAGAGTTAACCACGCCTACCTAAAACGGCTCGTTCGAACACGCCCCCACATATCTACCTCACTATGTGAGAAGATTTGCATAACGCCGAAATGTTCACGCAAAGAAAGAAGGTGTAACTTTTATTCTCGCTGTAGTATTGTTGTTGCCGCTGCCGCCATGTCGTGAAGATGCTGTGTGCTTCGTTGTGAAAGCGAAACTACTTTGTTTGATTTTCCAGAAGAGGACGATATCCACTTCGTCATGCCT